CGATATGTCTTCCTCCCTCCCCCTCCCCCCGCCACGGCCAATCCGATTACAGTGTAAAGCTTAAGGCCTTCCGTCCTTTCGATGGCACTGCTGAAGCTGTTGCGGCCGCCTCGGACATTATAGAGAGCAATTTGGGGAAAGAACTGAAGAAATTTTTAAAAAAGAGCATAAAGGACAAGGAAATGTCAGAGCAGCTGGCCGTCGCAGATCATAAGCTGGGCGGACTGATCAAAGACAAACTAGGGCTGAACATCGCTACCGGAGAGATAGCGTCTGAGCTATTCAGGGGCGTTCGCACGCAGCTAGACTCCCTTTTGACCGGCCTCTCCGACTCGAACTTGAAGCAAATGCAGCTAGGGCTCTCTCACTCCCTGTCCCGCTACAAGCTCAAGTTCTCTGCGGACAAGGTGGACACGATGATCGTGCAAGCGATTGGCCTCTTGGATGAGCTCGACAAGGAGATAAATACGTACGCCATGCGTGTCCGGGAATGGTACGGGTGGCACTTTCCTGAATTGGTCAAGATTGTCAATGATAACGTGCAGGTGAGAAGGCAAGAGTGAACCAACTGTTCCTTTAATGGACAGAGGAGTGTGTGTATGATTAAAGATGTGTATGATTTGGCGCGTGCAGATACGCGGGTTTATACCTGAGGCTGTGGGTATCTTGCGATGCTTTCCATAGCACCGCAGCTGCGAAAGCTTATAACGCGCCCTCCCCCTCCCTTCACGCAGTACGCAAAGCTTGTTGTCCGCGTAGGGATGCGCACTGGCTTCAAGAACCAGGATTTGTCGGACATTTTGGGGGACGACGCCGTCGAGCAGAGCGTGAAGGAATCCGCAGAAATTAGCATGGGTCAGGAAATTTCCGAGAACGACTTGGCCTCCATCCGCTCTCTCGCTCAAGAAGTGGTGGACCTGGCCGCCTACCGGATCAATTTATTCGAATATTTGAAAAATCGAATGCACGCCATCGCCCCCAACCTGACCATCATGGTGGGGGAGTTGGTCGGGGCCCGCCTAATCGCGCACGCCGGTTCCCTCTTGAACCTGGCCAAACACCCGGCATCCACCATCCAGATTCTGGGGGCAGAGAAGGCGCTTTTTCGAGCCCTCAAGACGAAGCACGACACCCCCAAGTACGGCCTCATTTACCACGCCTCGTTGATCGGCCAGGCTCAGCCCAAGCACAAGGGTAAGATATCACGGGTGCTGGCTGCCAAGACGGCGCTCGCGATCCGGGTGGACGCCATGGGGGACGAGACCGACACGAGCATGGGCGAGGAGGCGCGGAGCAAGGTCGAGTTCAGGCTCCGGCAATTGGAGGGAGGCCACAAGACGAGTTTGACCGGAGGCATGCGGGGCAGCAGCAGTGGGAACGGGGGCCCGGCGAAGTACGACAAGAAAGCGGCCTTGGGCGAAGGAGAGGGGGACGGGTACAATGAGGCCTCCGATATGGTCGGGGTCACGACGGAGGTAGGAAGTGCGGAGAAGAAGAAGAAGAAGAAGGAGAAGGAGAAGAGAAAGCGTGAATCGGAGGGGGCCGGAGCGGAGGAGGGAGGGATGGGAGCAAGCAACGGTCAGGCTTTGGAAATTGAGGAGGAGACGCCCTCGAAAAAGAAGAAGAAGAAGAGCAAGACAGAGGCATCGACAGGGGCAGAGGAGGAGGAAGAAGAGAGCCCCAAGAAGAAGAAAAAGAAGGACAAGAAGAAGGAGAAGTAGCCTCGGAAGTCAGAAGAAGATCAGGGAACGTACTGCCGACGACAGAAGCAGAGAGCCTAGCAGGCCAATGCTTCTAGGTGTGATGATGGCAGGATTGATCAGATCTTGCGGCAACGTGTCTTTCGGCCTTTGCTCCCTGTGTTGTATAAAAGAAAAGGATGAAAAGCGACCCAGACGGACTAAAAAAACGGAACAAGGACTCATTATTTAGAACAGCAAGGCCATTGCTTTATCTTTATATTTCACGACTTCTCCACCCCATCCATTGCCACCTCGGCCTTCCTGGATCAGTATATGAAGGGAATCATCACCCAGGTCTTCTTCTTGTAGTTCACAAAGTCTTCCCCGTATTTCTCGAGGCTCTTGTCTTTCTTTATCATGTTGGGCACGAACGTGATAAGGATGAAGGAGGCCAAGATAGCCCAGGCCACTTTGCTCTTGGTCAGCAAGGCGTAGGCCATGTAGATTAACGTCTCCCCCAGATAATTGGGGTTGCGGACCCAGGAGAACAACCCGGAAGTGATCAAGCCCCGTCCACGGTATGTCAGCGTGTGTGCCTTTTGTGAATCCGAGGCGAAGTGAAGAAAGACGCCGTATCCCCACAGGAGGATCGCGGCGCACATCTCCCAGTTTTCCAGGTACGGATCACGGCGGTACTTGCACAACATATAGGGACCCACCCAGTACAAATCCACGTAGACGAAGATGGTGAGGAAGAAGGGGAAAGAGACTTTTTCGTCGAAGTTTTTGTCCCGAAAGGTCATGTGTTTGGTCAACCAGCACCAACAGTAGACGGAATGGAGCATCAGATACATGAGGGCCGGCTGGGTGAAGTTGTCGAAGAAGTACATGAACGACAGGACGACGGGGAACTGTGGCGCAGAGCGGACAAAATCAGTCAAAGGAGCATTCACACTGACTTGAATATTACAAATGGTTTCCAAAAAGTCATAGATTGGACTTTTCTTTGCTATACGTGCATTGACAGAGAGGAAGAAGGCGCCAGCCTGTGCCTCCACGTACCGTCAAAAATTTATGCCAATTAATTGCATGGGCTGCAGAGGAGCAGCCAAGAAGGCTCAGAGGTGGTGGTAACGCTTTCTCTTCGGCTTTCGTGTGGGAGCGAACCATTTTGGCCAGTATTGCCTGTTTTTCGAATGTCACGGTGTGTGGAAGCTCCTGTCAAAGGGGGTGCGTCAGGCAACCCTTCTATGATACCGACTCCGAAAAACAAAAAAATGCTGCCAGCACCCTGGCTTTGCATCACCATCTCAAAGCACAGAGCTATGCTTGAAATGGTCCAAACGACAGGGTTCCGTCTCAGTGGAGGGTTGCAGTCAAAAGTGACCGGGGCACTGACTCACCGGGTGCAACTTGTGTCGCTGCACGCGAAAAAGAACAAGCGCCTCTCTTCATACGTTCCAGGGGGGTATTTATTGGGGATTACTTTAAGTCTGGGGGCGGAAAAGTAACCAGTGCCTCCCTCATATTAGACATCGGGAAGAGATGTGGAGACAAAATCTACTCATAGCTTCTTGGTGCTCTCTATTCACACATTCTTTACGTAAATTTACAAGCATACATTCGGGCAGTTCGAAGGGTACAATTCCTGCCGCAGACTTTCCGAAGTCACCCTACCGCTCCTTGCTGTACCATCTGAGCATAACGTACATCGCTCAAGAATGCAGCCATGTGCTTCTTGAAGCTTGGGCCGTCTTGTATGTCCCTGGGAATGGATGCCAGCAAGGACCCGCGCTGCTCATTGGTCAACCCTTCCATTTTCATCAAGGCCTCAGGGAAGAGCTTGTCGAACGTCCAAGTCACGCCATCGACCCCTTCGCTGACTCCATTGCATGCAACAGCCACAGTTATTTCCCGTAGCAAGCCCAACAGCTCGTCTCGAAGCGAAGGGTGGGCCCGGTTGAACAGAAGATGGAGTATGGTCATGGCGTAGGGCAGACGCATCGTGCTTTGGAAATGTTCGAGATTAAACAACGCTATGTCCCCATCCAGCCGCTCCAGAAGCTCGATTGTCAGTCGGGTTGTATCAGGCGATAGAGATGTATCCTGCAAAGACTCGTACATGACGAGAAGGAAGCGTTCAAAGGTAGACTCCATGTCTCGGGAGACAAACGCTTTCCTCCTGGATCCCCCCCCGGCGCTGGCGATCCCGGCATTGACATGAGTGGCACCGTTTGTCTTCAAGTACGTTGAATCGGACACGAACTCCCTCCAGTGGTCCGAGAGAAGGGAGCCCGCCAGCTGCAGGAAGAGGGGCAAGAGGTCAGCAGGCGCTGAGCGCACTAAGGGCAGTAGGCGATCAAGGGCCAGGCGACTGAGCTCCCCAACGGTGCCCGTGGGAAAGGACGACCGCTCTAGCGAAAGCTGCCGCAACAAGCGAAGGAGAGATGCAAGCAGGAAGATCGAGGCGGGGGAAAGGGTGGGAGACGGAGTGCTTGGAGGCCGGGCGTCCTGGGAGGCGTGTCCGGGTGCCGCCCCGAGGCCCGTGGACCAGTCCAGGTGGACGAAGAGACGCACAGCTTCCGCCAAGAGGGGGCCGACATCCTTGCCGAGGCACGTCTGCAGTGCGGCCAGGAGCTCCAAGACGGCGCGGGCGGCGAGGGCGGCACTGTGGAAGGCTGTCTCGGGACACCCGGGTGCCTGCCCGGCCTGGGACAGGGATGACGCCTTCGACGGCGATCCGCAGGTGCAGAGGTGATCCAGGCAATTTCTCAGGCACGGGAGAAGCGACGCAAGTCCTGGAAGCAAGGCCGCATGGAGAAAAGCCTTGATGCGCTTGGGCGACTGTGTGTACAGGACGCAGATCCCTCGCAAAATCCGGGTCGCTTTTCCGAGGTGCCTCATGGCGTCGAGCGAGTCCCCGACGCGCTGGCCCGGGGAGGTTTCCAGTTGAGTTTGTGCTTCTGGTAGGGCGTTGACCCAGGGCGCCAAGAAAGCGGAGTACGCGGCCATGAGGTTCTGCCCCTCCGTGGGGTCCAGGCGGGGCCCGTCGGTGGGGAGGTAGAGGAGGGAGACCGACTGCAGGTAGACTTCTTGGACCGAGAGGGGATGGGCGGGCGCCAGACGATCGGCATCTTCTATCCACTGGTTGACCGACGGGTAGGAGCGAAGCTGCCGGGCTGGGATGTGGCGTGCGAGGGCCAAGACCACAGAGGCAGCTTCGCGAGCAACGGCCTCCCTGGCGGGCCAGGCTGGGTGCTTGAAAGAAAGAGAGGCCGACGGAGGAGGCTCTAAAATTCCGTTAACAACGCTTAGAATCTCGTCCACCACGTGCTCCAACGCAGGAAGAGGTGTGGAGGGTGTGGCAGGCGGTGCCGCGGGCATCAAGCCCCGAGTCAGGTGAAAGAGGGCGCGAAATGTTGCTCGATGGAGCCGCGCAAAGGCGGGAGAGCGGGTATTGCCCTCCTCCTGATTCATGCACTGGGCCATGGCGAGAACGAGCCGAAGGAAGCGCCAAAAGGGGTCGGTAGGGCAAACAGAGGCGACAACTCCGGCCAAGGACAGGAGGGTGCACGCATCCGCCTGCGCGTGGTCATAGGGCTCCTTATCAGTTAGAGCCCCCCAAACCGTCTCAAGGCGCGACCCCACGAGGCCTGCAAGGTCCTGGGAGCAGCCGGGGAGGCGGGCGAAGGATTGGAGTAAGAGCACCCCTTCGTCCACCACCTCTTGCCGCTCGCTCTTCTCCTCCCCCAGACAGGCGCCCTCTCCCTCGACCCCTGCATCCCGCGCGAGGCCACCGTCCTCCCAGGAGCCCAGCGGCATCCACTCCTCGCCATCAACCATCTTTTCCATCCCGTGCACCTCATGCACACGCACCCTGTCCTCCTCTTCGTCCTCAAGTTGAGCCATGGCATGGGCATTACTGGAGAACAAGAGTTTCGAAAGCAGCTCGATCCCCACGCTGGACAAGAGGGGCAGGCTTCCCGGAAGGGTGGCCAGCCCCGCCTCCGACTCAGTCAGGTGCTCTAATAGAGTTGTCCAGGGGAGGAAAGCGCGGCGAAGGAGACGGGCGTCAGGGAGTTGCCGGAACGTGAAAGTGGCGAGTAGGGTGCAGAAGTCTGCAAATGGGAAGGTGGGGAGGAGGAGGATCCGACCCAAGTGTTGCTCCAAAAAGACGCACAGGAACTCCAGGAAACCCAGCAGGAGCTCTTCATCTGCCCCTTCTACACCTCCATCGTCGTCCCCCCCATTGGCTTTGGTCAAGGCGCAGACGCTGTCCAGCACCACGCACATCTGAGTGGCCACCTGCAACACAAAGGCCTCTAAATGCGGGGGCAGGCACCGCTTGTTCAAAAGCTCCGTCATCACTCCTACCGCAGCCACACCGCACGGTTGCATGTCGGGCCCATGTCCTGGACGGACGGCGTCGAGCACCAGGTCAAAGACACTGGCGCAGAGACCGGGAGTCAAGCACGATGCCATAGATGGCCACTCCACCAGAGTGCCCAGACACCGCAAGGCAGCCGTGGCCAGCACCGCTTGCTGGACAGCGTTTTCGGATCGAGCGGAAGGCTTGTGTGCGTGCGCCAGAAGAGAGGTGAGCATTTCGACGACTGCAGGAAGTTCTCGTGCGAACAAACTTTGCAGTTCTGCTATCCGAGACGACGGCAAGGCCAAGTCCTCCCGCAGGAATTCAGAACTGCACATACACAAAAGCCCCAGGCCAGTGGGATAGGTCAAAGGGGAACTAGAGAGCGCAATGATATCGCTCATGAAGGTGGGGTACGCCTGCGGCCATCCCTCTACCTGCTTCCCTATATTTATCAGTACTTGCTGCAATTTGTTGGTCACGAATGGTTCTAGATGAGCATGTCCCGGTCTCTTTAACATCAAGAGCTCCAAAATGAAAATGCGTAGTTGCTCGCGGGTGTTTGAGTTCAGCCTGTGCCATTTTCGCGTCACTGCGTCGTCTAAAACGGTGGCTGCAAACCACTGTAAATAAGGACTGGACGAGGACTCAAGGTAATGCCGTGCTTCATCCATGGCTTCAGGCTTATCTTTAATGCCCTGAAGCTCCCTTTCGATGTCCCTCTGGAGGGCGGGATTCCCGTTGCAGCCATTGAAAAACGTGTGCAGCAAACCCTCCAAACCCTCCAGCCCGCCCATCCCAGACACCGCGTGCCCTGGCCGGCAAGGACGGAGGCGGGATCAGGTGAAGGCCTGACGGGGGACTTTTTTTAAGCAGATGAGGCTGTCGATTTCTGTATGACAGTAACTGCAAGTCGTACAGTATTCCTGTGAACGGTGGAAGAATTGAGTGACCAAAACGTTTACAGGAATACCTGGGAGGTCGGGGAGTGGAGTGTTCCTCCTCTTAGCGACAGAGCGCCCGGTGATCATCATACAGCGCCAGCAAGGCCAAGAAGCCATGCCTGCGGGAGAAGTTGTCAAGATACAATAGAAGAGCGTGTGCAACTTCGTTCAGACTCTGAATTAGCGTAGGCAATGTTGTCCGCTGTGTTCGCTGTAACGCTTGCACTCGCTAGCATCCCTTTGATGCCTTCCCCCAAAACCCGCATGATACGACAGGGTGTGTATCGTCCTACCGACCTTCGAGTCAGCTCTTTAATGCAGCGGAGCGATTGATTAGCAGGCTGCGGTGCCCCCTCCCTTCGCTTTTGGGGTACATGTACACGGGGAGGGTGCGTCGTACAGATAAACTATCCCATCCGCTTCAGCTCCTCCTCTTGCTCATGTTGCAATTCTCGGCCGCTCAACGTATATGCCCGGCAGCGGGTGCACAAGCGACGTCAACCTTCGTTTCATTTTCGAAGACTAGACCTGAAAACTGTCTGCAGAGACCTCGCGCTTCTCTGCCCCGCAAGCAAGCCCTTCCATTGTCCGTCACACCCGTCACTTCCCCTGTCCCCGAGAACGAGACGTCGAGCTGGCTACTTGACCATGTGGAGGCCTGTCTCAAAGGGCCTTGTAGGTTATCCGACTCGCGGGGGAGTGCCCCGGCCCATCATGTCGTGATCGCCGTCTCGGGAGGCGCTGATTCCATGGCGCTGCTCCATCTTCTGACCCGTATTCGCAAGCGATGGGAGCCCCCCTTGAAGCTGACGGTGGCACACTTCAACCACGGACTGCGCCCAGAGGCCGTAAAGGAAGAAGCGTTCGTCCTAGACGCGGCGGCGAGGCTGGGGGTCCCCGTTCACACGGCAAGCTGGCAAGAAGAGGAGCGGTCCAAGAGTGCGGGCGTTCAGGCGCGCGCGCGGGAATGGCGGCGACAGGAATGCGAGCGGCTGCTCCAGGAAGAGAGAATTAGTGGACGGTGGCAAAGGGGGAAGGGAAAGGAGGGTGGGGCGGTGGGCGAGCGAGAGGAGAGGGGGGATGGGAGCGAAAAGGAAGGGGCTCAGGGCGTCATCGCCACGGCTCACCACGCGGACGACTCTCTGGAGACATGGGTCCTGAAGCTGCTGCGCGGCGCGCACATCAGCCACCTACGGGGCATGGAGCCTCGGGCAGGCCCATACGTCAAGCCGCTGTTGCACCTTCCCAAGACCCGCCTGGTTCGGTTTCTAGAAAAAGAAGGTCTGGCATGGGAGGAAGATGCCTCCAACCAGACGGAGAAGTACAAGCGGAACAAGGTGCGCCTCCGGTTGTTGCCTTTGATGGCAGAGCTGGCGGGGGGGGAGGAGGCGCTGAAGGCACGCATGGAAGAGATGGCGGAGCAGAGCCGGGGCTTGGAGGACTGGGTGGTCCGGGCGGCGAGGGAGTGGGAGGCGCGTCACAGCGCCATGGCCCCTCTTGACGTGGTGGATGCAGGAATCGAGCTCTGGTTGGGCCCTCCTGTCCGCTCTCCCCTCCCCTCTGCCCTGTCTTCTTCCTCGCCCCCCGGGTCGTCGTCCGCTCAGGCGTTATCAGCGCCCTCCTTTCCTTCGCCGGTGTCTCCCTTTTCGGCCTCCGAGCCGCTCTGGGCCCCACTGCCGCGCTTGCTTCAAGAAGAGCTGCTGCATCGCCTTGCCGCCAGGGCAAGTAATGGTGCAGTCAGCCTCTCCTACGCTCAGATACGTCGCGCCATGGAGCAGCTTCAAAGGGACGAAGACGAGGCCCAGGGGGGACACAAAAAGAAGCTGCAGTGGCGATTGGAGATGGGGAATGGATGGTTGTTGGTCCGACAAGGGCAAGTGCTTCGGTTGGTTCAAGAGCAAGCCCATAGGAACCCCAAGGGGATCTGGCAGCCGGAAAACTTTCCAGTCTCGCTGCCGGATGCGGGCGTGGAGTGCTTGCTCCCCACAGGGTGGCAAATTTCGGCCTCACGCCTGTCGGCATCTCCCTCTTCTTCCTCGTCCACCGCCCCGGGGTGGAGCATGGTCCTTCCTCACGTTCCCACAGGGGCCCGGCTCCGGCTCCGGCATCGTCAAGAAGGCGATCGATTTCATCCACCGTGGCGACAGAGCCCTGTAAAGCTCAAGGATTTCCTGAGGGCCCAGAATGTTCCTTTGCATCGGCGGGATGAGGTGATGCTTGTTGTGCTGCTCTCAAACGGTCCTCTGGGCGTCAAGGAGGAGGTAATCGGCTTGCACCCGCTGGGTTGTGTAGCGGCACCATCTTTGGATTCGCAAGCAACAAATTCAGCATTGGAACCCTTAGCTATACGATTGATGAAAGCGTAGCGAGGGTTGGGCTTGTACAGACGTGTTCAAAACCATGTGATTGTAATTTAAAAAGGTAAAATGCCTGTCGGACGGAGACACGAACATGGCTTGTCTTTTCTTCTTCCTGTTCATACCACGGACTGAGTGGTTTTACCGAGCCAAAGACTGTCCAAGCGCGCTGCTAGCTATGCTTGCCTGAAGCATTTACAGTCGATGACCATTGCCCGTGTGGCTTCGTGTTCTTACGTGGTCAAGCAAGTGCTGAGCTCTGTTCCTTCTCGCCCCTTTGTTGGAAGGATGGCCTCCTGGCCACGATCATCGGCGACCCGCTTGGCCTCTGCTGCTTGGACGCTCATTGCATCTCACGTTTTCAACTCCCCTTTTCAAGGATGGACAATTTTAACTCCTTCTTTCAAACTTTGTCGCGTGGACGCGCTGGCAACGAAAAATCGTCGGGGGGAGGGGAGACTTCGGGCGCAACGCAGGCACCTGCTCCATTGCAGGGGCTAAGTGCCGCGGTCACCACCACTACCATCACTCGAAGCTCCTCCCAAAGCAAGGCCGGGCCACTGCCGTCATCATCCCTGTCAAGTGCCTCGAGTTCTTCATCCTCAGCGGCCGCTGCCAGAAGTGGAGATGACGAAGGTGCTTCGGGTATTGTAGCAGGCATGGAAGTGAACACCCCGTCATTCACTTTCTCCACTCCCCAGGACGGGTTGCCGCATCCGCAGTGCACTCCTATAGCCTTCTACAATTCTGAAGCTCCCTATGGGAGCGGTCGGCTAATCGCAGTCTCCGATGCGTACATATGTTACGCCATCAAGGACGGCCACATCCGAGGGATCAATCGGCAGACGGTGCAGCGCACTTTACTCAAGGGTCATAAGAAACCCATCATTGACATGGCATTCGCGAGCCGGTCTACGTGTATGCTCGGGTCTTTGGGTGGAGACGGCTCTTTTTACCTGTGGACAATCACGGAATCGGCCGCAGACAAAAGCTTGACGTCGGTGCCCCTTTTGGCCGTAACAGGAGTGGATCTGCAGCGGGTCGTCTGGCATCCCAAGCAAGTACACATGCTAGCCGTGGTGGCTCCCAAGGGAGAAATTGCCTTGATCAACACCCAAAAGCTTATTCAGCAGAGAGGGGGCCGGGTCGGAGATCCCGCCAAAGTAG